TGTGTGTGTGTGTGTGTGTGTGTGTGTGTATGTGCAGCTCAGCCCACCAGGGGGCGGACTGGCCGGCATGTGGTGCTGGGGGATTGAACCGCGTTCCCTGTGCTTTGCCAAGCTTGTTCTAAGTAGGTGCCTTAGACCACTGAGCCATCTCTCCAGCCCCCCAGCCTAAACTATATAGCAAGACCTTACCACATGGTTCTGACAATGTTTATTTTCTTCTGTCATGGAGAAGGAAATATCCCAGACAGGGCTATACCTTTATTCTGGATCCCAGAATGAAAAAGACACAAGACACAACCAGTGTAGAACCCAATGAGCAAGAACTAAACCTGCATTTTGCAAGCCTGTTTTATAACCAAGACATGGCCAGTAAAGGCTGACTGAGGGGAGAGGGACCCAGGTGGCTCCTTGTTCCTGCTGTCTCCGTCTCCTGACTGATTCACTCCTTTCTGCAAAAGGCTGGGCTGAGACACTGCATCCTAATTTCTCAGAATGTGTGGGTCATACAGTATTTTGTAGCCTATTTAGGAGTGAAAGCCCTTGTCCCCTCTTCTCCCCCTCGTCCTGTGATCCCAGAACTCCCTGCCTGGGCTCTGCCTGGTTCCCAGCATTGCCAAGTGTGAGCTGCGAGGAAGAGGGAGAGGGTGATGGTCAGGGGTCTGAGGTCCTGCCAGTCTTTCCTCCCTCTCTCACTGTTGCCAAAGGGAGCTCTTCATCCTCATTCCCCTTGGACTCTACTGCATGCCTATGAGGACTAAAATCCCCCAGAGCCATCTTTCCAGTTTAGTCTGGGAAGGGGGCCTCACCCAGGCTGCGGGCAGGGTGAACAGTCCAGTAGATGTCCAGGCAGGTGGCTTGGTGCTTCATGCGCCGATGGCACGAGCAGCCCAGCAGGGAGCTGTTCCGGAGCTGCTGTGCTGCCTCGAGGCAGCCTGTGAGGCCAGAAGGCTCCTTGGAGGGCAGCGGGCTGCTCAGCCCAGAGGCACAGGAGCCCAGGTGCTGGTAGGCCACCCTGCACACTGCGTCAGCCTGGCACTTCTTCCTGGCCTGAATGCAGCTGTTCGCCAGCCGGCTCTCTGTGGGAACGGGGTCCTCTGCGGAGGGACAGACAGAGGAGGTGAGCACCAGCATGCCCCATTGTGAGGCGGGGTAGGGAGATGCCCAATAAAACTCTGAAAATTTTAGGGTAGCAAGTGAGGTGTAGAGGTGCACATCTGTGATCCCAGCACTCTGGAGACTGAGGCAGAAAAATCGTCATGATTTTAAGCCAACCTGGGCTACACAGTGAGTTCAAGGTCAGCCTGAACTATATAATAAGCCTCTGTCTAAAAAAAATAAATAGAGGGCTGGGGAGATGGCTCAGTGTAATAAGCGCTTCTCTGGCAAGTGCAATGGCCTGAGTTCAATCCCAGGTTCCGCAAAAAAATAAATAAATAAATAAATAAATAAATAAAATATATATATATATATATATATATAATAAAAAAATTTAGAGGCGCACAAAGGGCATTGATTGATTGATTGTTTGACTGACTGACTGATTCAGGGTCTCGCTGTATAATCCAGGCTGGCCTCATATTTTTTTTTAATATTTATTTATATTTATTACATTTATTTATTGTGTGTGTGTGTGTGTGTGTGTGGCCAGCTCAGCCCACCAGGGGGCGGGGCTGGCTGGCATGTGGTGCTGGAGGATTGAACCGCGGTCCCTGTGCTTTTGCCAAACTTGTTTCAAGTAGGTGCTTTAGATCACTGAGCCATCTCTCCAGCCCCTGGCCTCATATTTATGATCCTCCTGCCTTAGCTTCCTAAATGCTGAGATTACAGACATGTGCCCACCATGCATGATGACATCTTTTAAAATAAACTTTCTTTTTAAATTGGAAAATTTTTTATTGAGGTAAAATCTATACAATATAAAATTAACTTTCTTAAAGTACACAATTAAATGGCATTTAGAACACACTATCATGCTAAAATGGAACCCACACCCATTAAGCAACCACTCCTTAGCCTTGCTTCCCCTGAGCCTGTGGCGACCACTAATCTTCCCGTCTCTGGATTTATCTATTCTAGAGATGTCACAGAGCAAAATAATACAATTGCGGGCGATCTTTTGTTTCTGGCTTCTTCCACTTAGCATGTTGCTTTTGAGGTTCATTCAGACTGCAGTTTGCATCCGCTCCTCATTCCTTTCTTTTTTTTTTTTTTTTTTTGCGGAACCGGGGATTGAACTCAGGCCCTTGTACTTGCCAGGGAAGTGCTTATTCCACTAAGCCATCTCCTGGCCCTCCTCATTCCTTTCTACCTCTGAATATTTTTGTGTATGGATGCGGCATCTTGTTTATCCACTCCCTAGATGATAGGCATTGGAGTTGTTTCCACTTTTTGTTTACTGCGAATAACTTTCCGAAGTACAGTTGACTGTTTCAAAACCCATTTGTGGGGGCCTGCCCCTTAGCTCAGTTCTTTAAGTAGCTGCTTCAACAAAGCAGTCAGGCTCAGGTTGCTGTGGTTCGATCCCCACAACTCAAGACAGCCAAACCTGCCCTGAAGGCATTCGGAGAAAAAAAAAAAAAATCCTTCTGGGGCCTGGGAGATGGCTCAGTGGAATAAGTGCTTGCCTGGCAAACCCAAGGACCTGAGTTCAATCCCTGGTTCTGAAAACAAAAACAAAAAACAAAACCCATTTGCAATTCTCTGAGCAGATACTTACAAGGAGAACTGCTGGGTCAGAATACAACACTATTTTTTACAGAATTCACACCATTGTGTGTACATTCCCGCCAGCAATGTGTGAAGATGCTAGCTTCTCCACATACTTGCCATCTCTTGTTACCGTCCCTACCCTTTCTGTGTGCATGATAGCCATTCTCATGGACACAGAGAGGCATCTCACATGCTCTTCTTTTCGTTTCCCTGCAGATGAAGGGCAGTGAGCATATTTTTATGGGCTTCTTGGCCATTCACACATCTTCTGCAGGAACACACTTTTAACAGTGTACGACATACAGAAGAGTTTGTGAATCAAAGCCAATAAATCTCACAAACTGAAGACATCTGTGTGGTCATAACCCAGACAAAGGAACAGAACAGCACTTGTCTCAAAGAAGCTTCTCTTTGTCAACCCCTGCCACACACACAGTGAGAAGACACCAGAGACTACTTTGGGCTGGGTTTCAATCATAAAATATGTTTTTTGTGTCTTGGCTTTTTTTTCTTTTGTTTTTGAGACAGGGTCTCACGATGTAGGCCAGGCAGGCCTCTAACTTGTGACAATACTCCCTTAGCCTCCAGAGTGCTGGACTAGGCGTGTCCAGTTTGCATCTTGGCTTCTTTTGCTCGCTAATATCATGATTATGGAGTTCACCCATACTGGTAAGTATAGCCATAGACAGTTTATCTTTTTCATTTTAAATGCATTTGGTTGTTACATGGTCTCACTATGCAGCTCGGACGCATGGTGATCCTCCTGCTTTCAGCCTCCCCAGTGCTGGGATTACAGGTTTACACCACTGCGCCCCCAGACTCTGGCCAGCTCAGCCCGTATGGTGCCAGGGATGGAACAACGGTCCCTGCTCTTGCCTAAACTTGCTGAAGCAGGCACTTTAGTTCCCTGAGCTATCTCCCCGGCCTGACAGTTAATCTTAATTGCTGTATAGCAGTAATTATATTGCTGGTTGACATGGGCGTATTATCTTTTAATACTGCAGATCAGATTGTCTTCATTTTTCTGCTTAACTCCCTCCAACAGCTCCTGCTGTACTTAAGTTAACATTCCTTCTCTGCTGGGCAAGGTGTGCATAGCTGCAGACTCCAGCACTCCGGGAGGCGAAAGTGGGAGGACGGAAGAGTTCAAGCCCATTCTAGGCAACTTATGAGACCCTGTCTCACAAAGAAAAATGTGCTAAGGACGTAGCTCAGTGTGGAAGCCCTGAGTTCAATCCCCAATGCTAAAAAAAAAAAAAAAGAAAAAAAAGTTTTATAGGACTAGTAAGAGTTAGTCCCTGCCCATCTCACTAACTTTACCTCAAACCTTTTTCCCTTTCCTACTTCCTTGCCACTACACTAGCCTTCTCTGTTACTGAGCAAGACAAGCTTGTGCCTAACGCAGGGACTTTCTTTCTTTTCTTTTTTTTTTTTTCTTCTTCTTTCTTTCTTTCTTTCTTTCTTTCTTTCTTTCTTACTTTCTTTCGACAGGGTCCTCCTATGTAGTTCAGACTGGTCTTGAACTCACTATGCAGCCCAAGCTGGCTTTGATCTCATGATCCTTCTGCCTCAGCCTCCCAAGTGCTGGGATTACAGATGTGCCCACCACATCCAGATGCCTTTATTTCTGCTTGAAATACTCTTCCCCTGAATCTTCTCAGGGCTTCCCCCTTTGGGGAATTTCATTTCTTTTCTTTTCGGCAGGCTCAGCCTGCCCTGGGGGTGGGGCTGGCATGGCATGTGGTGTTGGAGATCAAACCTCAGTCCCTGAGCTTTGCCTAAGCTTGCCTAAGCAAAAGCTTTAGACCACTGAGCTATCTTGCCGCCCCCTTTTTATTTTATTTTATTTTTTTGCCCACTTTGGGGAATTTAGATTGCAGGTTAAAATCTCAGAAAGGACTTCTCCAACCAACAAACAGAAAGTAGCCTCCAGTCACTTGAACACATTATTACTCCAGTTCTCAGTAGAGCACTTATCACCACTTCATTTTTCTTTTTGGGGGTACCAGGAATCAAACTCAGGACCTTGCACCTGCCAGGCAGGTGCTGTGCCACTAAGCTATATCCCTGGACTTTCACTTGATTTTTATCACTTGATTTTTAAAAAATTATTTCTCCCAGTAGATTCTCATGTTTACCTTATCATTAGTTTATCTCCAGTTCCTAAAAGCATACTTGCTCCTGTGAGTTTCTGTTAAGGAACAAAGGAAGGACAGGCCATTCTGTGAGCCACCTCTACACCTTCTCTGGGCTCTCACCCTCTACATATGATCAAAGAGCTCAGCTCTCAGAACCTCTGTTCCGATTCTGATTATTATCACATAATCAACTGGATTGCTTATTAAGAGGTAGGCCTCTGAGACCTACTCAATTAGGATCCGGTGATAAAGCCTCAGATTCCACTCTTAGTGAGCTCACTGCAGACTCTGATGCTCTCGAAATCTTGAGAGCTGGTATCATAACCACACGATAAAAGGACCAAGCCAGCAGTGGCGCGTACGTGATCCCCACACTGTAACATACTGAGGCAGGAGGGTCAGGAACTGGAGCTCTGCCTGGTAAGTCAGGAATTTAGTGAGAGCCACAATCACATTTAATTGCAAAAAGGTTAAAAAAAAAAAAAAAAGGTAAAACAGAATTTCATAGCAAGATAATAGGAGACTAACAACAATTAATACATTTTCATGGCCGGGGAGATGACTCAGTAGAATAAGCGCTTGCCTGGCAAGCGCAAGGGCCTGAGTTCAATCCCTGGTCCACAATAATAATAATAATAATAATAATAATACATCTTCAAAGTAGTTACTCAAGAGCACAGGCTGTGTACATAAAAATGTCTCCAACTAATGTTACTAAGAGCCTTCCTTTTCAATGAACTAAGAGACAGTAATAATATAGCTGCCTTCCATTTTTCTCGCTTTTCCCTTCCTTTCCCCTCCTAGCTCCTTTTTCCTTTTAAACTACTACTTTTTATTTCATACTAGGCCTTATTTACTTTCAATTGCTCACACCAGGCAGACAATTTGATGCTTACACATGTGAGTGTAATTTATTTCACCTACGAGCATGGTCTCAAGTTGCATTCATTTACCTACAAAATCTCAAGTTTACCCTTCTTTATGTCTGAGTAGTACTCCATTGTATAAAAAGACCACATCTTTTTTAGCCATTCCTCGGTTGATGAGCATCTGGGCTGTTTCCCAGATTTAGTTACTACAAAATGTGCTGCTATAAACATGGGTGCACATATAGTGCTGTAGTATGTTCTCAGAAGACACCAAGAGGGGAATAGCTGGGTCGAATGGGACCTCCAATTCTAGCTTTCTGAGGAATCTCCACACTGATTTCCACAGTGATTGTACCCACCAGGCTACACTCCCACCAA